AGCCGCTTGCTCGATGAGAAGAGTTCTGAGGATCTGCTTCAACAATGTTTCTTGCGTCGGCAAACTCATCTTCAGTAACTTGATTACTTGGAGCGTTCTGTGCTCGTGCAGCGTTTCGGGTTACTGCAGGAGAGGTGAACATCACGTCGGGGTCACCAATATATAGAGATAATATATATTTGAGAAAAAGATGTTTCTCTTCAAACTTCTGAACAAACTCTCATTTTATTTTCACAACTTGATGTTTAAAAGAACAGTATCATTTGTTAAAATTATAAATTACATAGCAAGTGGATAAGCAGCAAGTATCGCTACACCCCCTCCCCCTTCGCTCCCACTCCCCAAAAAAAACCGGCAAATAACTAAAGATTTCCCCCCATATTTTCCTTAATGCCTTACTCCGGGGTTACCAATCTAAAGCCTACCCATGCTATACTTGAAATGCATATAAAGGTGAAGGTTTAATGTTAAGAATCGGTATCGGGTACCGAAGAGGAAGTATTGGGTACCGACAATTCAGCACGTCACTAGATAAACGATTTTTAAATCAGTGATAAAATTACCGGTAGTGAAATATCGCTCATTACTAGTGTGTACTGTGGTTGGCGCATTTTGTTTAATTTTTAATTGCTTGCGGAAAGATAACGTTCCGTTTAACTACCCCCATCGTCAGCAAGTTGCAGAAATTCATTTTACATTGAAAATGGCGGCGTCAGTAAAACAACTTTATGTAAGTAGCCAGATTAGAGAAATATGATATATAATTTGCCCATCCATCAGTTGCATCCTTTGACTCTGGAATCCACACTATTCCTCAACTCCTTGGAAGTGTGCGGCAAAATTTATAACCGAATTGATCCCTATCTTTATGATTCGTTGAGAAATGTGGTGCTTGGAATTGAAAAATTCCTAGATCAAAACCCTACCGTAATAGAGGCCACGGATGACTTTATGTTTGTGACACCCAAAGAGTTGGAGGTAATACAAAAGATTTACCATTGCACCTTTTGCAAGAAAAATTTGGGCAATACGGTTGACAAGGCCGCGATCCATTTGGCAGAACGACACCCAACTGCCAAAAGAGTAAATTTGCCAAAGCGTAAGCATACTTTCGTTTCATAAACTTTTTTTTACTTTTTATTTATATAAATAAAGTTCTTAGCTATCTTTTCTTAAAACATAATAGGAGCGAAGGCGATTGTTGAGAGCGATTTCGGAAAATTTTTCGCCGATCAATTGCAAGTAGCAGAGACATTAAAACAAATCGCGGAATATGACGTTATAGAGAATTCGCTGTCGGATATTCTTAAGGAAGTGTTTCCCGACAAAAGCATCAAAATGTATAAATTCGGTTCGCGAATAACTGGTATTGGTACAGGAAATTCGGATCTTGATATATACGTTGATATCGGTAGGAAAAATATTACATTTTGTGTGATGTGTACGTATAACAAATACAATACATTTTCGTTTAGGTGGACGATTCAATGAATTCGAGCATGCTGCCACAGCAGAGACGTTGCAAATCTTCGACCGGGCTTTTTACGTTTTTAAAAATAAAACCATAGATTGGCGCTTGAACCATGCTGCTAGAGGTGCACGTATACCCATACTAAAGTTGACTAACACTAGGACTAAAATAAAGTGTGATGTTGGTTTTTCCAACAGTATAAGTTATTGCAATAAGCAAATGCTTGAATATATTTTCCAACAACAGCCTATAGGTAATTTCAAAATTTCACGAGTATCTGTTGTAAATTGTCATTAATTCAAAGTTTTTAGCGCGACGAATGTGCATATTCATGAAAAAATGGCTAGAGCTCACAGGACTTAATAGGCGTATAACTACGTACTGTATGTCGTTGATGGTAATTTACTATTTACAGATCAACAATTTTTTGCCCTCAATTGAGACTCTGCAAAAGAATATGTTGGCCAATGTCTTAGTTGGACGTAAGTTAACACAAATAATATGTGACACGCACGTTTATCTCTTAAACATGCATCAATTTACTATGTATACATACATAATTTTTATATTACAGCATGGATTAGCAACTTTATTGAGATACCCTTAACTGAATTGAAAATGGAAGTTCTTAGCGTCAGCCCATCGAGTTGCAAGCAACACATTAAAGAATTTTTTATATATTATGCTGATTTCGATTATGAATCGCATGTAATATGCCCCTATTTTGGACGTACACATATAAAAATAGAAAATTTTGAAAGCCTAATGCCGGAACGGTAACTTTAAAGCATTTAACGAAAGCTTGGTGTAAATATTTTTTTTATTTGCAGATATACCAATTTTGTACAGAGCAAGAATTCTGCCAAAGATTTTGGCATAGAATTAGATAAGCATATGGTCGTACAGGATCCACTACGAATGAATCATAATGTGGCAGCGCGTGTGACTAAAGTAGATTTGATGGAGTGGCAGCATTTTTTAAAGAAGTCAGCTGTGTTGATAATCGTTGTGAGATCATGGCGCAATAATGACTTAATATATACTAGCAAATATCCGGCGTGCTTTGCGACGCATCGTGAGTAATTTTGCATCAAAGTTAAGGAGAAGCCGTATTGAAACTCAAATGGGAAAAACCCCTTCAGGGGAAGAATTTTGCCTTTATTAGTATCCATAATTCATCTGGCCGGGAACTCTAGTAAGTTAAGATCTATCTTCACAAATCAGTGCCGTATCAGTTCGGTATCATTGCCAATCAGCATCGATCAGTGATACCAATTCATACACANCTTGGTGTAAATATTTTTTTTATTTGCAGATATACCAATTTTGTACAGAGCAAGAATTCTGCCAAAGATTTTGGCATAGAATTAGATAAGCATATGGTCGTACAGGATCCACTACGAATGAATCATAATGTGGCAGCGCGTGTGACTAAAGTAGATTTGATGGAGTGGCAGCATTTTTTAAAGAAGTCAGCTGTGTTGATAATCGTTGTGAGATCATGGCGCAATAATGACTTAATATATACTAGCAAATATCCGGCGTGCTTTGCGACGCATCGTGAGTAATTTTGCATCAAAGTTAAGGAGAAGCCGTATTGAAACTCAAATGGGAAAAACCCCTTCAGGGGAAGAATTTTGCCTTTATTAGTATCCATAATTCATCTGGCCGGGAACTCTAGTAAGTTAAGATCTATCTTCACAAATCAGTGCCGTATCAGTTCGGTATCATTGCCAATCAGCATCGATCAGTGATACCAATTCATACACATTCGTAGCATGTCGTCCGGTACTTTCATTAAAATGAAGTTCATTGAAACCAAGAAGACTTATTTTACTAATGTTTAATTGAATTATATAGTTCTGGATAATTCCGTAAAAAATCGATTAATTTTCCCTCCATATCAAACAAAACTTGCAATAGAATACCGTCAGCTCATCAGTAACATACACACAAATCNAAATGAAGTTCATTGAAACCAAGAAGACTTATTTTACTAATGTTTAATTGAATTATATAGTTCTGGATAATTCCGTAAAAAATCGATTAATTTTCCCTCCATATCAAACAAAACTTGCAATAGAATACCGTCAGCTCATCAGTAACATACACACAAATCTTTGCCGAGTTAACTACACTCTAAAATATGTTTGTTTAAATTTAAGCATATTAAAAAAGGTAACCAGTTTCCTCTCTTAATGTATGCAAATTTGCACAACCTGTTAATCTATTTAAATACTGCTTTTTAACTTTTACTTACCATAATATGGTGTGGAGTAGAATAAATTTGAAATTTGTTTGTTGAATTCTAAACACTTAAGGCCAAATTCACAGTGCGTAGTTAACTCAGAATCGACAGTTAACTACAGATTTTAAGTGAATGTATTTTTGCGTTGAAAATGTTTGTAATTTTAAACATTTCACGTGTATATTTTAAACATCTCATGTTCAAAAATGCAGTCTTGAACATCTTATGCGTATACTTACACAAATTTTGTTTGAAAATAAACACTTTTCAGTAGCAGTTTTACATGTAGTTTTTAGAGTGGATAAAAAAAAATCGGAACGAACACTGAAGCAGCACTGACAGTAAAAAACGGCACTGTGCACTCTATTTGGGACTGGGGCAACGATATTACCCCCCTATTATGAATTCGTACGATGCACGGTAGACGCTTGCATTCTGTAATTCTGTATTACGAATCGATGTTGTCGTATGAAATCCGATAATTAGCGTAGCTGATTTCTGCTGGTTCACAATAAAAAGTGATCAAAAATCACAGCTATTCACAACAATACATCCCTATTATGAATTCGTACGATGCACGATAGACGCTTGCATTCTGTAATTCTGTATTACGAATCGATGTTGTCGTATGAAATCCGATAATTAGCGTAGCTGATTTCTGCTGGTTCACAATAAAAAGTGATCAAAAATCACAGCCATTCACAACAATACATCTGTCGGGCGTATGAAAACGATAATACCAGAACTGATTTCGTACGATACGCTTGAAAGCGTTTATCGTCTGTCGTATGAAAATTCATAATAGGGGGGTATGTTTTTCACTGATAGGTATGGCGCTGATATGTGTAGATAACTTTTATTGTAAAAATCACCTATATAATTGATTTTACGTCGATAAATAAACGCAGATCTAATTCCGATTGCAGGCATCGTTCCTATTCGCGCCGCCGCTACTATTCTCCGATTACGGGCCATTGCCCTTGCGGCTCTCGTTTGTCTTGACAAATTTCTTTTAGCTTTAGGCATTTTTAAACACTTCGCACTATTCTGTTATTTTAAAGATTTTTTTTTTATTTAGTAACGAAATTCCACTTTGTATAAGCCAAAACACTCAGCCTTTAACGCGCTTGCTAATTTAACAACTTCGCGAAAACAATGTGCCGAATTCCCATGAAACCCAACAAATAGGCATACATATGTACATCATTGATTTGCTGTTGTTTGTGCATGCCAGTACAGCGTTGGAAAAATGGAATTCGGCTAGACCGAGGAAGGATTCCCATAAAAAACAGCCCTAAAGTATTTTACCATATCAATTCTAATTTGAACATAGTTATGCACATATGTATGTATGCATGTATTCAAGTCTAACGCAATTGATTGCATGCTGATTTGTTGAAGCTGCGTTTTGTTTTGTGCAGAATTTGCATGAAGCGAAACAGATCTTTCTGCTGTTACACCAAGAAGCTTACAGTGAGCATACTGTGGTGGGCATGTGCCGATATCGCAGCAAGCAGCGGGGCTACTCTGCAGTGTTGCCAGAGTTTTTGTATAGCGCATCCCCATATCGAGCCGCAGTTATCCCCAAAAAATCCCCATTTTTCTTCTAAATCCCCATTTAAATCCCCTTAAGTAAGAAATAAAAAAATTTTCATAGTTGAATATGTGTAGAGATCATTTGGTTATTTACGTATAGCGGTTTCTTATTTTTTGAGGTTTTTGGAGACTATTTAACAACATACCTTCGGCCCAAGGTTCCTATTCCTATTGCTGTCTGTAAGTTCGTCAATTTTTTTTGTGCGCTTGCCACTTTGTAAAATTCTTTTTACACTAAGGAAATCAGAAATATATGCAGTCCATTCGGTAAATGCCAATCACAGCGATCCTTTTACAATTTGGTGTAATGAAGTGAGAGAAAATTGTGTGTTCAGCGAAAGCCATTAAAACAGGCATTTTCCACGAATAATACTTTGACAAAGAAAATCTTTGTTTGAGAAATTTTTAAGGGCAGGCAGTAAGATATATGTATTTTACTTTCAATATGAATATTTTATACCAAACAAAAATCCACATCAAATCCTCACATCCCCAAACGAAAAAATCTATCCCCATTTCAGAAATCCCCGATATTGGGCGAAATCCGCACATCTGGCAACTCTGCTACTCTGTAATGCGATGTGAAAGAGAAATGCGATGCGATAGGCAAATACGCCGTAAGTCATACGCTGCGGCGATTGCCGATCGCATCGCATTTATCTTTCGCATCGCATTACAGAGTAGCCCCCCAGCATTTTGAAGTAAAAAAAAAAAACCAAAACAGTTGTCAAGCGAAATACATGATGTACAGTGTTTGTTTGTTTTGAACGCAGCGCTGCTTGTACATAACTACATAAATTTCGCTTTGGGCGCAGCGCTGCTTGTACATAAATTTCGCTTTGGGCATGCTTGAAGCTGGCAAAGGTTCTTTTGTTATTTTGCGCTGTGCTAGCTGAGTATAAAAGGTAGGGTGGCCAGATATTATAGTGACATATCAGTACAGTTGGGATCAAAAATCAGTACAAATCCATACAAATCAGCTCATTTTTAAGTGTATTTTTTATTATTAACAACTAACAGACCCGGCGAACTTCGTCCCGCACAAAATTAATATTTTTATTGAAGCATTTGGACCAACGTTTTCGCCAACAATTCACGTTCACGTTTGGTTTTGTGGTCGACAGAAGGCATCCCCTCTATTGCCGTCTTAAATAACCTGACGAAAGCGTTATACCGGGAAGAAGTCCCTGCAGTTCGATGGTGAATCGTCCTTGAATCTGTATAGTATAGTTGGTGGAAATTTCGAAACTGGTGAGTATCATTGGTCCACATTCTGTTTAGTCACCGTAAAGCAAGGACCGCAATGATTCTGATGGTTTATTTAACGGGGGTAATTTGATTTCGATCCCTGGTGCTTCCGAAATGACGATTTTTAGCAATAACTCAGCGCTCCAGCGCCACCTTGTCCATCTTGTTTCGCAATAGTATTGCCCCTATCGTACTAATACATATACAGCGTGGCGACGAAGAACTGTTACCCAGATTTTTTGAGAAATAAAAGGAACCTTTATAGATTTTGCGAAAAAAGTATTTTATTGTTAATTTTCCACAGATTTTTCCTTAGTTGTATTAATTGATTTTTAAATTTTAATCCTTATCTACATTTGCCAGCAGTGTAAACTTTGAGAGTAATAATGGGCTGTTTTTGCTTACGCGTAAAAGCACATTTAGCGCATTTAGCTCTAAATGCTACTCTAAATGTACATTTATCCATACAAAATTCGTCACCTAAATGCAACTAAATGCAACTCCATTTTTGCATTAAGAATCTAAATGCTAAAAGCAACCCTGGGATCTTCCAAAATTTCCACGATTCGAACATCGTTTAATGAGAAAAAGTGGCAATATTGCTTTTTCGAGTATACAGTGGCTAGCTGCGTTTCAGTGATCGCCGATCGAGACTTCATTTATTGTTTTACATTATTTGGATAAAGAAAAGTTAAGCAAATTCAACATCGATGTGACGCTGATAGAAATCTGGATCAATTTGTGATCAACTCTCTTTGTTTTGTTTCCTAATTAAGTGAGAAAATTTTAATTGACAGCCCCGACAAATGTATATATACACAAACAAATGGTCGGTTATGGTTAAAACAATTCAAGTTTTTGTATTGAATTTTTGGTTTAAAATATATTTTTTCCTTTTCAGTAGGACATTATCTTCTGCCTGAGAGTTGATCGTAATAGATACGGATCCGAGTAAGCGACTGGAACACGGCTGTTTGTCAAAAGCATACNTTTTGTATTGAATTTTCGGTTTAGAATTTATTTTTTCCTTTTCAGTAGGGATTTTTGGACATTATCTTTTCCGTGAGAATTTATCGTAATAGATACGGATCTGAATAAGCGACTGGAACACGGCTGTTTGTCAAAAGCATACGATTTCGAACTCGCGTAAATGTACATTTGCTAAATGCGATAGCATGAACGCTCTT